TGAGCAAAAGCAGCATTATTGTTATTACTATTTACAGAGCAACTGTCCAGCAGTGCATCAACACAATAATAATAATATTCAATATTAGATGTGATTACAGTTAACCAATAACACTTTGGTAAACATCTTATGTCTGTGTGACTGTGTATTTGATCGCATTTCAAAGCCACCACTTCAAATTTATTATGGTTTATTATATATGAAATAACATTTATTTACCTGCAAGAGTAAAAGTAAATAAAAGCTACATATTATTGTTAACATGCAACATCACTAATACCAGCCACGCTGGTTGGTGGCTTGCAAAGAGATCCATCATCTATCTCAGTGCATCCCCATCAGTGAAAGCCAAAGTCAGTGTTTGCACGATACATACAAAAATTAAAGGTGAGCAAAGCATGTCGGGCCAATCAATTTGCTGGATTCAGCCAATTACATATTATGAATATATTCAACTAAACTTAACAAAATATATAAGAAGCACTTTAGCTCAGGGGAAGAGCGCGGGGCTCATAACTCCGAGGTCCCAGGATCGAAACCTGGAAGTGCTAACCCAATATGGGGAAATGGCCGAGTGGTCTAAGGCGCTACGTTCAGGTCGTAGTCTTAACGGGCAGGGGTTCGAATCCCCTTTTCCTCACTTTTTTTCTTTTTTGCACTTGAAATTGAAAAAGACACGGGATAGCGACTCCCCAGCTGTCTGAATAGTTCGCTTTATAAAACGGCTTGCATAAAAAACATTGAATAATAATGGGGTTCGGGTTCAACTTGAAAAAACACTGCAACCATAAAACATGAGTAATGTAAATCTCGAAACAATGTAAGAAATGATGGAAGAATGGAGCTAATAACCATCCAATTCGGCGGCATTAACTTCCCATTGGAGCCACCCCCTACCAGAACACCTATGCATCCCCGCGACATTCGCTGCAGGCCTACGTAAGAGCAACCATGTCTGTCAACAGCCATCTGGTAGATGGTATTCACCTTCAAATGGGAAGTCTGGCTCCTCCTCATCTCGCCTTGCCAGTCGTCAACAAGCCCGTGGTGGAGAAGAGCACGCTAAGATTTGGAAAAAAGGATGGAGCGTTCATGGGGAGGTCGTCTGTGGGTGGAGGTGGACAGAAACGGTCAAGCGTTTCCAAAAAGACTGGGGTTGGAGGGGATGGTGGCGATGGCGACGTGTCGTCGGGCGGGAAGCGGTTGTCGGTGGCAGACAAACGACTGTCTAACACACGGAGAGAAACAACATCTGAGCATGGTGGTGATGAAGACACAGGACACGGTTCACGCGAGTCATTGAGGGCAGGTCCCGGTGGCTCCTCAACCAATGCATCAAGGAAGAGCGTGAACAGACAACAGCGATATGATCCGCTAAAGTCGAATCGAAACGACACTCATTCCACGGAAACTCCAGCTCAGGACATGCACTCGACGGAGCCCGGCGCTGTGCCTGCGGTAAACTCTTGTGGATTTGATCAGGAATTAGAGCGGGACCTCGCACTGGCGTTGACACCTGCGCAAGCCACGGAACTGCATCAGCTTGGGTCCACCTATAAAATGGCGCTTGCTATGGTTGCAATGAGGGATTTGGGACGGGCAATGGATTCTGACGGATTTTCCAAGTCGTTTCTGGTTAAGCAGGAGCAGGAGGAGCACGATGGGTTACAGTTTAGTTTCAGATCCTTTACCACTTGTTTATCAACTAAGTGGTTTATATTCAATCTATCTCGTCATCATTTTCTTTGAAACTAACGTAAAACAAATAAAACAACAAAAACAACAGGAGCGCCAAGAAGAATTACACCGACTACCTAATATCGTGCGGCTTTGAAAAGTCTTCCCAAATGTTTCAACGTCTCATGAGTTCCGCAGAGGTCATCGAGCCACAGATCTCCCCAACTGTTCGATCCGATCGCGAGTTCTCCGCGAAGGAACTAGGAATACGTCAGCCCAGCCGTGGAGCGAAACGGCAAAGCTCAGTGGGAGGTTCAGGAGGAGATAGGTTAAAGGGGTTGTTTAATTGGAACCAGCCTGAGCCCGAAGTGAGCACGATGAATACACCCGAACGATCTGGAAATCCTGAACCTGAACCTCCGAGGCAGGCTTTTTATCAACCCGAACCTGAAAAGACCGAAGAAAGCACGATGATGCCTGCAGAGCCACTCGTACCGAATCCAATTGACATTGACGATGGGGGAGTCGACGTACCCCCAATGTCAGAAGAAGAGCCTTCATCCCATAACACCGACGAAGAGCCGAAGAAATCCACAGTCCTGCCACCGATCGGTCATCGCCCCGCAAAACCTCCTCGCCAACGCAATCCAACCCGTCCACCTCCCCATCCACAACCCTCCAGCAAACTCCCTAGCCGAACTGTCACCCCCCAAGTCTTCTCCCCACACATGACCGACCAACTCAAAGTCGAAGGAGCCTACGGCATGCCTCAATGGCAAAACCGTCCCGTCCGAAAACGCCTCCCGTCTTCCTCCCTCTTTGGTCTCCTCAACCCCCAATTCGCCTCTCTCTATTACCAACAAGTCCTAGAATCTGCAGCCGCCGACGAAGTTACGGCCAAAAGGGCAACAAACGATCAAGGGCCCCCTCCTCTCATGCCACAAACCCAAATCCAGCTTGAAGAAAAGCTCCACAAAATCGCAAAAGCCAGACGAGACGAGAGCGGTGGATTCATGTACGCGGGATTTGACGGGCGAACCATCACCGCGAAGGCCATCAAGGAGATCTCTGAGAGGAGAAGCGCGGCGGCTTCGAGAGGGGAAGGTGGGGGAGCTTCTTCATCGAGGTTCTATGCCGGGGGGACGATAAGGAATGCGGATGTGGCCATTGGATCCACTGCGACTGGGTTGGCGATTCTTTCGACGACTTCAACTTCGTTTCCGACTATTGGAGTCAAGGCGCAGCAACAGGCCGGGTCTGGTGGAAGGGATCTGAAGTTGTATGGGCATCAGGCGTTCGTGGCTCCTCATTATCGCGTTCTGTCAAAGTATCAGAACCGGTGAAAAGTTGGGGGATATTCGTGACATGTTTCATGCCGACAAGTCTTTCTTTTTTTTTATACCCATGTACTTGATTGAAATTAATATTGTAGATAGACACACATGGAGACAACAGCCAATCAAAATGTTCTTGTATTCATCTATTCTTTCGATATTGCTCAAATGGGTTCTTCATCAATAAGTCCTTTAAGATGCCCTTGCCAGCTGCCGTCACGCACTTTCGGGCAAAAGTATCAGCGCCTTTATTCCCAGTTATCACTGCCCTCATCTTCAAACCCACTGTTCCCAAAAAGCAAAAACCGACGACTCTGCACATCCATCTTCCACCACCCATCCGGAAAATGCCGCCGAAGCCTCCACATCCTCTCAAACCCCACCCCCACTCCCCCCTTCTCAACATCAAAATATCGGAACCGCACAACCATTTTTCGACGATACACCCGTTCAAGTTGATCCATCTCTTCCAGGAACAAAAGCTTTTCTTCTCTTAATCTTCCGGAACTGAAATCAACGTCGATCATCTCTAGGGTAGGTAGCGAAATAAATAGCCGTTGAAGCGATTTGTAAAAGCGCGGTTTTGAATCATCTTTTCCTTCTGGATAGGGAAAGGTGCCGATAAAGGTCAATTTCACGTGCGAGTTTTGACTAAAGAAGTTTGCAAGATCGTTCACCGCCATATCCAGTGTCCCACTAAACAAAAGCTTCAGCTTCTTTAGCCGCCTCAACATCGGCATCATTCTCGATATACCGTCCAATCGAGAACTTAACCCGTCATCGCAAACAAGTAAAAGCCGACTGCACTCCTCCAAAAACTTTCCGTGTCCATTCTTCAGAGCCATTTCAAGACATCCAGTGAGAAGCGCTGACAAAGTCGTGTTCTCTCGATACCCCCAACCACTCTCTTGCTCTCCGAACAGCGAAAAGGATTGAAGCATCGGGATGGATAGAATCGAGTTGAAGTAGTCAATTATTTCCGAGCGTGGATCAAACAGGTCAATGCGGAGGTTTGAAAAGATCTTTACGGTCCTTAGAGATGGGCAACGAGCAAGATACCGTCCGATCGCAACGAGCTCGGTTTCGGTGAATCTCTCTTCGGGGTTGAAGATGGGATCAAACCCAAAGTCGAAATGATGAAGGTGTGGTGTTGAGGGGAGGGTCGTGAAAAGGTTCAAGAATTCGTCGCGGTTCGTCATAATGAAGGAGTCGGCTTTTATGGAGATGCTTTTCAGCGAGAGGTTGGGTGAGAGAAGGTGTTCAAATAGGCTTGTGGCAACAGGCAGGGGCATTTCCTGCATGTGGAGGGTGAATGTTTGCAAGCCGTTCCATCGGCTTGATCGAATAAAATCTGAAAGAGAGATTCCAATAGAAACGGGCGCATCGCCCTTTGGCGGGGTTAATGCGCTCAACGTGAGTGTGCGTATTTGATGGGAATGAGACAGCATCATGGTGTAAGGCTTACTGTCACGACCTCTCGCATCGATTGTGAGGCTGAGTTCCTTCAGGCTCTCTAACGTCCCGATGGTTTCAAGGACCTCAGGAACAAATCCCTCATCATTCACAAGCCCAAGCTTCAAAGTCTCCATTCTTTTCTGCCGCCACAGGTTCGATTTCTTCACACCCTGCCATCCCTCCCTCCCCAAAAACCTCTCAACCGCCAACTTCTTCATCTGGTCCACCCCGATGCGATCCATCAACGTAAAGGCCGGAACTTTATCATCAAAATAGACCGAAAGGCAAGGCGTATTGGCACAACTATTCAAAAAAGCATCAAAGAACCGTCCCCCATCATCAATATCCATCCGAATGTCCAGCTCCATCAAAGTGGGTCCAACAGCCATCAGCATCTCGATCATGACATCAATGAACGCTTTCCTGTTATGTCTATTCTCCATCTCGAATCCGCGGAAAGCCAAGGCGGTAGGAAGCTCGATTGTCAAGGACTTGACCATGCGGAGCACCTCAGGGCGGTGTCGAAATGCCGCCAGGAATCGCTGAAAGGATGTTTCTGTGGAGTCCATGGATTTGATGAGGCATGAGAGGGCTGAGAGGGATAGCGAGGACCGGGATCGGAAGAGACTGGAGAGGGTTTGAGCATTGAGGTAGGGAGAGAGGTTGTTGATGAAGATGTCAGGGGAGAGACGCTCTATGGACATGTTTGTGGAAAGAGTTTTTCGAGGAGTCGGCGTTATTTGGTTCGATCACCGAAATTGGTGTGAAGCGAGCATGGATAGAGACGATGTTGAGATCCAAACATATCCGCCATCACGACCAGCCGCTACGCATAGTCGCGCACGCTTACGTATGTTCTCATTTTATTATTTTTGAGCTCCTTTCCCCTTTTGCTAACGATCAAAATCCAAGACGCTCCCGATCGACGTTAAGCCAGCACTGATGGAGAAAAACTCCCCTGCGCCAGTAACCAGCTCTAACACTTATCACCATATAAATTGCGACGCTTAAGTTAATTGAAAACGAAAGAATGCGCACGAATCCATCATCCAGGGCTGGAAATGCCATTGAGCTAGCTACCTCCATACATTATCAAATGTTTATTCTTTTGTTTCTTTCAATCCCAGGAACATGAAATCTCACTCTGCCATGACGCAACAACATGTAACGAAAG